TGCATCCATTTGCATTTTTAACGGGTAAGCAGCCGGCCGGACTTGACATCCTCAACATAATTATCCTTAAGGATAGAATAAGAAGAGGGACATTTGTTTGTGTGCTCGCTAGAAGTGTGTAAAGAACGAATACATACATGTAAACGAGAAAATAATCCCTAAGCACGATTATTTACTCCCAAATCATCATTTACTTATACTTCCTTGTACCATAGAATTTTAAAGATAAAATATATATATAAGTTATAGCAACCGAAATTCACACCGTTCCTTCCACTATGGTGCGAAGGGTGCTTGTGGCGCAGTGGTCGGAAGCGCCATGCAACACACACGTGGCGATTCCTCCGCCCATAACCCACCAAGCCTTCCATCCCTTCGGGGTCGGCAAATTGATACCAAACTTGTCTAGGAGGGTAGCAGCACTGGCTCGATACATCGGTAGGCCAGCATGAGATATTGTAAAGGCTAGATATGCTTTCAATCACCTCCAACGACACTTAATGAAGTCGAATGCATTGCCCATCTCTCAGAGACTGATCAACGCCGAGAGCTTTATCCTTTTATCCTTTATGGTAGGAATTTAAAACGAATACAGCGAATATCCGGAATACTTAAAAACTCTAAAGTGAAGTATAAACAGATCGCGACAAGCGCAGTGTTTAGGAGCAATTCGCATACTTTATTCACTGCTTCGACCACGCCCCTGACCAACCAAATCTTCCATCTCTACGAGGTTGGCAGACCAATACTAGGCTTTGAAAAGCTTCTTCCGACCTATGAAGACCGACGATTGCCTCAGAGCTATTCCAGAATTCTGCAGAGAGTCTAATCAACCGGCATTCCGCCAAATTCATGAAGAAGGCCAAGGTCTTAAGCAGCAAGTGAGTAAAAAGCAAGCCCGGGTTTCTTCGCGTGTGATGAATACAAGTAAGCGAATCAAATGACGTTCCGAGATTTGGTGGGCCTCCACAATGGCGGGTCATAGCGGGTCTCTGCGATGACGGGTTATGGTAATAAAAGTAAGTAAGAAGGTAATAACAATGCGATGTCGACATGGCGCTCTCGGGCAGCTTGCACAACCTTTTCCAGCTCGAGAGGGTTTGATTGCGAATGCATTGGATTTCTCATTGGCTCTGATATGTACTCCCAAAAGTCTTTTTTGCAGCAAATTTTTTACTCAACCGTATTTCCTTATATCTACGAATTTCACAGTAAAGTTTTAGGAAAGCGAAAAAAAACTTAATACTTGATACTTGAACGGCCCGTCCTCACTGGTTGGGCGGGCCCCAAAATAATCACCATCTTTCAGAAATTTTCTGGCTAAGTTATTGTGGCTCCCTGGAATCCCGATGTTAGCTTGACCAAAGTCTGCCCCAGGTCTTCACCACGACAGGCACTCGCAGCCCTTGTGGATCAGAGAAAGATTTGCCACCATGTGACCTTGCCACTACGGTTGTCAACAGGTTAGTCTATTTTCCCATATAACCGTACTCTGCAGGCAAGTACAGAGAGGCCAATTTTGCGACGTCCAACACTCCGAAGTCATAAAGATTAATCCTTTCACAGGAGAAGCCTGCTTTAAACTACTTCACAACGAAACATCACTACATGAAATAAGAATCGCATGGAAGTCATTAACGCTTACTTGCGACCTTGTGAACCCGAAACGGACTTATTTACTCGGGATACGGCTCACCAAATCATCACAGCAAGCAATGTCCACACACAGGATTATGTAAAGCGGAGAAGTGCGCAGGAATAAAAACCACATGTCTCATACCAGAATTTGCAATAGAAAATAAATATCCAGGAAAAAAAGCCTGCGTTGAATCTTGTGGAGGTCCAGGATGCGATTGTTTTTATTGGAGCTCTGGATGCCTATTCTACGGCATTTACTTATCCCGACGTCTTCAACGTTCCACGAAATCTTCCACTGCAATCGCTGGAAAGAATCTGCCATAGTGGAAATCAGATACTTCAACACTATTCAGCGAACAAAGCAGCCCTACTTTACTCAGCTACAATCGTAAATTCCATTCGTAACTGCACGTTTTTTGGAGCGTTGTCGCTTGTAATTGATTCGGGCGTTCCTCGTCTGGCGAAGAATCAGCGTAGGAACATGAGGAGTGAGGTAGTTGTGAGGTCGGAGACATTGTCAAGATGTAGTAGTCTCGTCGCCATGCACGTTATTATTGCTCCATAACACTTACTTTCGGCAGAATCCGATTGAACAATTGTTATTGGACCAAAATAGTCGAGACTAATGTGCTTGAAAGGTCGTGATTTGTGAACTCTATGCTTAGGTAAGTTGCTTTTTTCTGGATATTTGTATGGTAGGTTGTTGAAGCGTTGACATGGTACGCATCTTCTGAGGATTCATGTTACTTGTGCACGTAGTTTGCGGAGCCAGAATTGTTCTCGTACGATTGACATTATGTGGCTAACGCCATGTCCTTTTTTGTGACAATCCTCTATAACTGCTTGTGCAGGCTAAGAATTCCGTAATACTAGCAAAGGGTTTTTTGGCTTCTTTCTATTGATCAAGATGACAATGTATTGTTCCGGCCAAAAGAAATGGTGATGTGTTTAGTTCGAAAATCACTTTGGTGAATCGTAGGGTTTTAATGTTGTTCGGAAATGGTGGTGACCTGTGACCATGTAGCCAAAGGCATCGTGTGGTATCGCGATCGTCCCCTGGAGTCGGACTTGCAGAAAGGCCTTTTCAACGTCTGATGTAATCGCGATTCATCCGATTCTAAAGCGAAGGAGGGTTTCGAACAATTGTGAGAGAATCACTGTTCCTCTATGTAAGATGTCGTTGAGTGATGAGCATCCTTGTAGTAAGCCGATGCGTCATAAAGTATTCTGATCTTAGTGGTGTTTTTATTGGGAGTTAAGACTGCTTGATGAGGAATGTTTCCTGTTCGTTGATTTCCTCTAGGATGTGCAGGCGAAGTTGTCCTTCGAATATGCCATTGTGCCTAGCGAGCAAATCTTTGTTGTTTTTTAGGGCTTTCCAAACACTTACGAGTCTATTGAGTGCAACTGCTCTATTATCACGTAGTGATAGCTGTACGTTTTTCCAAGGTAGACGAACGAAATATCCGTCTAATCTTTTTTCAATGATTTTGTTGAACGTTTGCCATACTTGCTGATCTGTCAGTGCTTTTTCCATTTTTGCGGAGTTCGTGAATTCTTCTGTTCCGGCAGATTCGAGGGTCCAAAATTGTTCCCATTTGACTGCTTCGTCTTCATCCGTTTCTGAATTTCCAATAACGCAAGCATGTACTTGACATTCCAATATCCGATGCTGATTCCACTTATTCATTTCATCTTCATCGACTTGCACATGTGGTGCCCAGTACTGATCCCATCTGTCTACTTCATCTTTGAAATCCTCTATGGGCAATATGTTTCCTTCTTCGCTCTGTTGTACTTGTAACAACATGTTGTCATCTTCTTTTTGTAGCGAAGGAGGACTTTTGAGTTGTCCTGTACATAAATGACCGAGACGCGTTGAAATAAGATGTAGTCCGGATAGTGGTTTAATGTGTGGTTTATTGTGTATTTCATTAAGGTCCACAGTTGGTCACACTCGAGTAGAATGGAAGGTTGGATCACGGGCCTAGTTTTATTAATCTAAATTTGGAGGCTGTTTCTTTTTACTATGAAGTCTATGTCTTCTGGACAAATTGGTGGTGGTTTGAACGGCTTCGTTATCGCGTTATGTGTGAGCAAGAATAGTGATATTTGATGGCCGTCCGCGTCCCATATCTGTAGTGAAACCTTTCATGAAATGCGTTCTTGCACATTGTTTGAGCCGAATGTGTTTAGTCGTAGTTTAATTTCTTCTATCGTCGGTAGATAGAGCTTTTGTCCAAGTTTCTCGTCGATAAAGGATAACTCGGCTCCCGTTTCTAGTAAGACGGAAACTTTATCTAATTGTTTTGTGGTTGGGTTCATTATAGTCAATTCCTCTGTGGGTAGGAAAGCTGACTGCAGTTTTGTGCTGGATTTCGTCGAAATTTTGTCTTCGGCCGGTGCCTCTTGTCCGACGTGGTTTATTTTGGACGTAGAAGGGGGCTTTTTATGCTCTTTTTCTCTGTATTCACTGGCGTTGGCCTTGTTTTTGGCGTTCGTATTCTTCGCAAGTGTTAAGAACGTCCTCTCCTTTGATGTTGAAAAGAAACAGCACGGTGTATGGTGACCTTTCCGGCACTTACGACATGACGACTCGTTGCACTGAACTGTGCTGTGGGATGGGGAGGTGCAACTCTATTACTATTGCATAGCTTATTATTTTGAAGGCACTAGTATCTTCTTTGAGGTGTTTCGTATTTACTGCAATAGGCTTATGGTTGCCTTTACAATACATGCACAAGAGCTTTGTTGTCTGCGACTTCCAATGTTTGACTTTGTCGTCGAAGTTAACTGTATCTCGAGGAGGTGTTTAGCTGATCTGGCGACATATCAGTCCGTCGCTGGTTATAGCCTCTTCAAAATATTTTAGAAGCTGCTGCATAGTGAAGGGTTCGTCGGGACGAGTGATCTTTTTGCGAAGAACTTTACGTTGGATCCCGACAGGAAATTTCGAAAGCAGCTTTTGATACATGGACTGATTGTCGACATTTTCACTTTTTTGCACTAGTTGAGCTATGATTGCTTCTATGGCTTCCAGTAGTCTGCGTTGCTCTTATATGGATGATGAGTGAAAGGAGGTTTTGTCCATCTTTCTGAGGAGCTGGCGAATAAGTTCTTCAGAATTACCGTACTTATTAGTAAGAAATTCTATGGCTTTTGCGTAGTTTTGCCTAGTGAGTTGGAACTTCTTTATCGATTTTAGAGGTTTCCCTTTTAAGGAGCTAAGCAGGTAATTGAATTTTTGTATCTTGGAAACATTTTGTGAATGGACGTTAAATTGGAAAGCTCCCAAAAGTTATCCCAGTCCCATATGTCGCCATTGAATGTTGGTATTGGGATTGTGGGTAGCTCCCGATTTTTCACGACCGCAGTGACGGTGGATTCATCTTTCCCACTGTTCGTAGTGGAGAGGGTTTGTGGGATGTGTTGAGAAGCTCATCGTGAGCCTTGAAGCCATGAATCCGAGCATGGAGGAGTACAAGATATTCGGAAGCATTGCCAATCGCTTCATCAGCGGCACTCAAATATTGCACGAACTCGTCTTCAATATTTGGTAGCGTCAGGGCGTGTTTTATATGTTTTAATATGGTAGCGAGTTCGTCTAGTGCGTGTTGAATCTTTGTTGTGATCATGTTTTCTAGGGCTGCAACTCCTAACTGCTGTAGGCTTGTGTGAATAACGATGGGCGTTAAATCATCTTGCAGGTTTTGAATAATGATTTCTTCTAACTTCGGGTCTTTGAATCGCGTTAGAACTTTTTGTAATTGGTTACTATATCGTGTAAGTATCCGCTTGTGACTTGCCAGTGCTAGGTTGGACATGATCGTAGAGTTAACGTACTTAGTTGTGACTTGCTTGACCTGACGGATCCTTTCAAGCGGCCAATGCACCGAAATTGTTGGGACGGCTCGTTGATACAGGAATACCAAGTAGTTAAGAAGATTCGGTCGGAATTGGCTGCTCGCCTTGGTCTATTCCACGCGGGACTTCTTGTGATTAGCAGTCACAATGCCGGACACCTCAAATTTGGGTAGTTAAATCGTTTATCATAGTTATACAACAATTATGGCATAACAATACAACTGCACAATTAGTACGACAACGGTACAAATAATAAATAGGCACAGCCCGATCACTGGTGTTCAGGACCTGCTTATGAGTGAAGAGGTTGTCGCATGAATTCTACTACCTGAGATGGATATGAGGAAAGAACATAGTGACATGAGAAGAATTACTGTGAACTGAGCAAGCTAACCAGGGAGCCGTTTATATACCTTTTGTGGTGGGCGGAGTCAGGCTACAGTAGGCGGAGAGACGGTTTGCCACTAAGGGGCGTTGGAAACATTTCTTAAGCATTGCAATCTGATAAGACGATAATGAAAGCATAAGACTGTAACTGCAGATATTTTTTATGAGATAGCCGCTACAAAATGTTAGACACAAGATTATCAAATCGTCATAGGAATGAGGTCACCGGAAACAGTATTCGAAATGCTTTACACAGAGAACATTCCAATGTTCGCGAAGAATGTTCTGTATAACTAGAGCGAGCGCCAGTAAATCTTCCATTTTTCCATGATGAGACGGTTAACCATTGGGAGATTAGCCAATCGTGCTAAGTTTTTCTCCTCAACGTTTCCTCTCAACAGTTTGCCACCTCATCATGGCGCGGGTGTTCGTGGCTGTCGAACCGCGATGTACAGCAGGGGATTCATCCCCCTGGTAGGGTCTCCCAAGCTAAGAAAGAGTTCGAGGTTTCATCAGAAAGTCTAGCTAAGAGTAAACCAATACCAGAGTCCACCACCGTCCTGGTATCAAAGTCAAAGTCACATGGTGGCAAATCTTCCTCCGATTCACAATGACTGCGACTGCCTGTCGTGGTGAGGACATGGGATAGACTTTGGCCAGGCTGTCCTAGGGATTCCAGGGAGCCGCAATGGCTTAACCAGCAAATCTTCGAAAATGGTGATTATGCAGAGGCTCGCACAACTAGTGATGACGGGCCGCTCAAGTATCAAGTTTTTTTTCGTTTTCCTAAACCTTAATGTGAAATTCGTAGATATATGGAAATACGGTTGAGTAAAAAATTTGCTGCAAAAAAGACTTTTGGGTGTACATATCAGAGCCAATGAGAAATCCAATGCATTCGCAATCAAACCCTCTCGAGCTGGAAAAGGTTGTGCAAGCTGCCCGAGAGCGCCATGTCGACATCGCATTGTTATTACCTTCTTACTTACTTTTATTACCATAACCCGTCATCGCAGAGACCCGCTATGACCCGCCATTGTGGAGGCCCACCAAATCTCGGAACGTCATTTGATTCGCTTACTTGTATTCATCACACGCGAAGAAACCCGGGCTTGCTTTTTACTCACTTGCTGCTTAAGACCTTGGCCTTCTTCATGAATTTGGCGGAATGCCGGTTGATTAGACTCTCTGCAGAATTCTGGAATAGCTCTGAGGCAATCGTCGGTCTTCATAGGTCGGAAGAAGCTTTTCAAAGCCTAGTATTGGTCTGCCAACCTCGTAGAGATGGAAGATTTGGTTGGTCAGGGGCGTGGTCGAAGCAGTGAATAAAGTATGCGAATTGCTCCTAAACACTGCGCTTGTCGCGATCTGTTTATACTTCACTTTAGAGTTTTTAAGTATTCCGGATATTCGCTGTATTCGTTTTAAATTCCTACCATAAAGGATAAAAGGATAAAGCTCTCGGCGTTGATCAGTCTCTGAGAGATGGGCAATGCATTCGACTTCATTAAGTGTCGTTGGAGGTGATTGAAAGCATATCTAGCCTTTACAATATCTCATGCTGGCCTACCGATGTATCGAGCCAGTGCTGCTACCCTCCTAGACAAGTTTGGTATCAATTTGCCGACCCCGAAGGGATGGAAGGCTTGGTGGGTTATGGGCGGAGGAATCGCCACGTGTGTGTTGCATGGCGCTTCCGACCACTGCGCCACAAGCACCCTTCGCACCATAGTGGAAGGAACGGTGTGAATTTCGGTTGCTATAACTTATATATATATTTTATCTTTAAAATTCTATGGTACAAGGAAGTATAAGTAAATGATGATTTGGGAGTAAATAATCGTGCTTAGGGATTATTTTCTCGTTTACATGTATGTATTCGTTCTTTACACACTTCTAGCGAGCACACAAACAAATGTCCCTCTTCTTATTCTATCCTTAAGGATAATTATGTTGAGGATGTCAAGTCCGGCCGGCTGCTTACCCGTTAAAAATGCAAATGGATGCAAGTGACGGCTCTGTGGCTTTGATTTCAANGATAAAAGGATAAAGCTCTCGGCGTTGATCAGTCTCTGAGAGATGGGCAATGCATTCGACTTCATTAAGTGTCGTTGGAGGTGATTGAAAGCATATCTAGCCTTTACAATATCTCATGCTGGCCTACCGATGTATCGAGCCAGTGCTGCTACCCTCCTAGACAAGTTTGGTATCAATTTGCCGACCCCGAAGGGATGGAAGGCTTGGTGGGTTATGGGCGGAGGAATCGCCACGTGTGTGTTGCATGGCGCTTCCGACCACTGCGCCACAAGCACCCTTCGCACCATAGTGGAAGGAACGGTGTGAATTTCGGTTGCTATAACTTATATATATATTTTATCTTTAAAATTCTATGGTACAAGGAAGTATAAGTAAATGATGATTTGGGAGTAAATAATCGTGCTTAGGGATTATTTTCTCGTTTACATGTATGTATTCGTTCTTTACACACTTCTAGCGAGCACACAAACAAATGTCCCTCTTCTTATTCTATCCTTAAGGATAATTATGTTGAGGATGTCAAGTCCGGCCGGCTGCTTACCCGTTAAAAATGCAAATGGATGCAAGTGACGGCTCTGTGGCTTTGATTTCAAACCGGGAATTGCTCGCCCAGAGTTGTTCGCTCTCTGATCCAGGTCATCATACCAGGAAAAAACTCTTTTGAGCGGTTGCTGAATGCTGAATGCAAGTCGGCAGTCTGGAACAAACATCGTATTTCGCCTTGAAGAATTGTGCTTTCGACAACTTTGGTCTTTCCTAAATATATCCTTCTGCAGTCGTTTGCGTTTGTTTGATTTCCGTTTCATTTCTCCTTCCTTCCGTTATTCATTTTAATTTCCAGCACCGAGAGTACCTCATCCATGTCCAGCTGGGTATTCGGAAGCTTGATTTTGCCACCTCCTACTAATGCGATCTTATCGCCTTAGGGTTCATGAATTGCTTGTCTGTTGACTTCGTGGTTTCTCTGTCGTCTTAGTATAATTGTACCTCCTTTGTTCACTTGCACTGTACAAGTGTGTGTATTATAAAGTCTTGTTGAAACTGGTTCCTCATACTACCTCATCAGTCTGCTACAGAAGCTGCTGTCCTATTCTTTTATTATCAAATAACCCAACAGCAGATGTATTACGCTGTCCGAAATTCCAGCACTTTTTTCATGCACTTTGTTTCCCCGCGCCCAACTTTTACGAAAGTCTCCGAACTTTCTTTTGTGTAGCTTCGGTTTGAGGATTTCTTCGTCTTTGTCGCGAATGTCGTTGAACGCTGATCGATTTTATGCTACTTGGTTGATGTGTGGAATAGAGAGATTCAGCTTTTCTAGACTAGTTTGGTACCAATTTCACGACCACGAAGGGATGAGAGGCGTATGTATTAGTTGGTCGCTGGAGTATAGGTACTTAGGTTAGCTCTCGGTGCCGAATAATCACTAGCTCAGGGTAAAATGCTTGACTTTGTACGAACTTGCCAAGCGGGACTTTTTGACGTTGCGACAAAGTATAATGTTAAGCTTGCGTTATAGCCGTTTAGAGCAATAATAGCAATAGAACATTGACGCTGTGACGATGCAGAGAGCGCAAGGCTAAATGGGAAGCATACAGTAGTGCAGGAAATAGGAACTAGTTAGGGAATACAACCATAGTGATGCTGAAATATTTTCAAAACTCCGGACAGCAGGTGTCTGCGGTGGGAAACGAGCGCGATATTACCTCTTCTGGTGGCTAACGCGTTCACCACCACACCATGCCGATCCTTCGTTTCACCTGTCTCTCAGCTAGTTCTATCGACCAATGCCATAAGCAATCACCCATCAACGGAATTGATCTGTGGAGCCCAAACCGGCAACGAACCCAGTTAAGCTGCGGGTGTACTCGAAATCGCAATGTTAACTTTTTATTTACTGCTTATTATAGTTTTCCATGGCAAGGTATTTCGTGTGGAACAACCACAGTGATGCTAGATAAGAAGTTAGCATTTATTTATGTGATCTTATAAACTGATCTTCTTAAGCTGACACGAGGTTGGTACAGATCTTCGTTGTCGTTGTCGTTGTTTCTGATGTTATTGATCGATGGCTGACGTTTCGGCGACTTCGCCTTTCAGAGCCTGGACGTGTTTAATATTAGAATATTTTTATTATTCGGTGGAAAAGAAAGGTTAAAGTGTTAATGAAGATCAAACTTTCAAATTGACGCCATATTGAACAGAAAGACCATTCACCGTGATGTTATGTGCGGGACTGGCCTACGCGTTGTTTTCGTGGAGTCGCAAGCAAGACACACCCCGGGGTCAAAATATTTTGAAATAGGGCGCCAGGTCAGGCGTGATAGTGAGTATTCGTCCTTCCGGTTCATCTTTGGATTTTTGAAATTTATCCAAAACGCCTCAAGAGTCTCGAGCGCTGATGTTTTCGATTCCTGCGCCAGGATCCGCATAGTCACTTCAGAATCATCGCCGTTGTGCTTTTGTGCCCTATGCGTACCTAGAGGGGTGTTTAAACGGATTTTAGCTTTTCCATCTCGATGTTCTTTTATGCGGA